TATATAGTTCATGAGTAACATGGGCAACTTTTATGATGTTTTTATGGTGTATTTTTGTACTTTTTGGAGCATGACAGTTCCTGGTACCCTCCTCTCATTGTGTAGAAGAAAGCAGCTCAGATATTATGCTATATTTCACTTTTGATGTTCCACAGAAGAAAGAATGTCATACATGTTTGAAATGCCATGTTGCAATTAGGATAGATTTAGATAGCTAGATGGTCAGTTCAAGGTCAGTTATCTGCACACTGAGTTATAGATTCAGTTATGATTAATTCAAAAGTCTGAACTCTTTTTCCTTCCACAGAGAAGCCGAAAGAAGCTCCAAGTCTGAGCAGCAAGCTATTCCTCAGACCAACCATTTCAGCAGCAACATCAAAATCTCCTCCCAGGCCGAGGGCCTCCAGCAGACAGCGCATGTGGAGGTGGCAGAGCTGAGGCCGGAGCGAGATGGGGAGGAGTGCTATGTTTACAGCAAGGAAGTGTCGGAGGATCCTGTTAAAATCTCCTCTGGAGAGCTGGAGATGGAAGGGTTTTCCCAATCAGGTGCCCATTCTCGTCCACCTTCCACGGTGCCCACTCACAGGAACGGGCTGCCCTCCTCAGACATACCTCCTGATCAGAACGGGAACGTGGTGTATAAGAGGGGTCTCGTCCCCTGTACAGACACAGAGAAAAAGGTGCAAAGGAAAACTGCGCTGGCTCAGGTCGAGCACTGGGTGAAGGTGCAGAAAGGAGACCCCAGAAGGTCAGTTTTGTGTGTTTAGACAGCTTTATATGTGCTGTGACGGGGGGAAAAATGTTAGGAAACCATACAGAGTTATGTGTAATACTCTAATTAAATGATGTAACATTGGGAACTCAAGCCATTGTAGGATTCAGTTCATATAAAGTTTCTTCTTATGAAGGAGCTCCCACTAGTGGTTATGATGTAAACACACTAAATATTAAAGGGAATGTTTTGTGTTCTAGCAACAGCATTCCGTCTCCGTTCCCTCCTTCAGGGAACGAGGGTTACCATACGTAACCGAGACGTTATTGCAGAGTTTTTTTTAAACTCATTATTTTTGTAAAAACCACCCAGTAATCACATTTGCACTATTGCACTTGCAATAAAAGCCTATGAGGCATATCTGCATTTGGTGTTTCTGCATAGCACCTTTAAAGTTTTTTCACTTAAATTTATATCTATAATATAATAAACATTTATTAATTACAATTAAATTAATAATAATAATAATATATATAATAATTAATAATATATATGTTTCCCTTTTATTAGTTTATTAGTATAATAATTATTATTATTTGTATAATAGTTAA